ATGCGCCCAATTTGGAGGGAGAATATGAGACCTTCCTTGAGGAAGTGCAGTGTGCTCTGTCTGAAGTGCCAAATACAGAGTCCCTCGTACTGATGGGCGATTTTAATGCGCACCTCAGAGTAAACGCTGAAAAGTGGAACGGTGTGATTGACAGTCCTAGCAACTTCAACAATATCAGAGGGCATGAAGTTGTTGCGGTTTTGTGCAAGCAACGGATTGTCCATTATGAACACGTTCTTCGAGCATCGAAAAGTGCATCAGTACACTTGGTACCGGGAAGCTTGTGCACAGAAGTCGATGATCAATTTGACAATCATAGCGTCTGACCTAAGACGCTCAGTAATGGATGTTCGTGTTAAGAGAGACGCAAAGCTATCAACTGATCATAACCGTTGTTAGCACGCTACGCTGTAAGAAACGGAGTACCATACGAGGACGTAGTGGCAGAACTAACCAGATAATCAAATCGGAAACATTATGTTCGGTGGACAAGCGAGCGAAATCTACAAACAATTCACACGTCTTTTTAAACAGATCCCGGTGACGAAGAAAAACCCGAAAGGATGAACAAAATGCTGTTGTCTTGAACGGGTTGGTTGCCTGCAATGTCAAAAACTTTTTGATGGACAGAAAGGGTTCACATCGCTATCACGGAGAATAAGCCAGCACTGAAGAGATGGCTTTGAAGTAAAAAACCTTCAACTCAAAGGCGGTGAAAAGCGGCTCACAAGGCGTCAGATGATCGACGACAGCGCTGTTCCGGAGAGCAGCTCATAGAATGGAGACAAAGAATTCTGACAGACTTTAAGCCGCCTGTCATATCGAAGAAAGGGCATTCTAAAAGCCAAAAAGAACAAGTCCGGACGCTGTAATGCTAAGCATTAAGACCGGCGATGGAGAGAGTACCTCAATCGCGAGCAACAACAGGAAGACTCGCCTGGAGAACAGAAGGCAACGGATATTAGGCTAGCAGTGGATGAAGCTACGTAATCTGAAAAAAGCTAGAAAAGAGGCACGGCTGTTCAAATCGAATAAATCCGCCTTGATATGCTTAAATAACTAGACGAAGAACATGTCTAGGTTTGCGCGTGTCTGCGCAACTACAACTATTGGCAAAACAAGTAGGCTGAAGAACAGGGGTTGTACTACTCTCGGTCAATACTGTAACTTGTAGGGAGAATTCGAATTATCAAGGCATCGCCTTATTGAGCATCGCGGGAAAGTCTACGCACAGGTGTTGGAAAGCAGGTATAACTAAGAGCGGTGTGGCTTTCGCTCAGGCCTAAGCAGTCCTGATCAAACCACCGTACCTTGCCCTATGCCCGACTGCTGGGAAATCGTGGTTGTTTGCGCATCCGGTTTGCATGTGCAAGGATCTGAAGAAAGCCTATGACCGGATGCCCTGCAACAAGCTACTGGCATGTCTGCAAACACGAGGGATCTACGGCCTGTTGTTATGAGCCATCCAGCCACTATACGTCGAAAACAAACATCTCTGACAGTAGATACGCTACACATTAAATGCAAAGTTGGCACTGGTCTCCACCAAGTATTCACTTCGCTTCACCAGCTGGTTGTGCATGGACAGAATAGTACATCAGTGCAGGAGATATGGAGACGGTAAATTTTCCGATGGCAGACGACACTGTTTTGCTGGCATCTTCTGAAACTGATCTCTAATGCTCTCTCTGGAAAGGTTTTCAGCCGAGAGCAACACGGCTAGCATGTAGTGCTTTTCGTTCTCCTGTCCGGTGCTCTCTCCAGATTAACGGAGGTGGAGTAGTTGAAATATTTCGGAGTTGTATTTACTGTTGATGGGAAATGGGAGGAGATCGAACGTCAGGTTGGGATAGCCAGGGGCGTTTTACTTTAACTAACCGAACCGTTATGACCAAAGCAGAGCTCAGTCTGAAGACTATGCTCATAGTATTTTAATCGTTCTTCATCCTGATGCTCATATACGGTCAAGAGCAGTCAGCCAAAGCTGAAAAACTTCGTTCCCGGATACAGGTGACTAAATGGGCTTTCTGGGATCATTGGGTTCAAGCGTCTCAGTAAGTTCAGAATTCAAATATCAAAGAGAGCCGCCCGCGGATTCTGCAGACTGAGAAATTACAGCTGCGATAGTTTGGGCAAATGCTTCCCGGGAGGAAAGCGAAACAGCCACTAATTGTTCAACCGACCGACCGAAGTCTTTGAGGGCGGTCACGAATTACCTGGGGCAAATGTCTCGACAAACTCTCTTACAGACTCGGGTTATACCTGTCGCCCAGGTTCAAACGCTAGCTCGGGATCGAGAACGCTGGAGACAGTGTGACGCTTTTGCCTCTGGGACACGAGGGTATAAGCAATTATTGAAACTGACTGACTGATTAAGTAAAGTACATCGTTCGTCGCTTCGTCAATTCAATGTCTGGCAGTGACAGAGTTAGAAAGAGGCAATTGTTCACCTTCGACAAATCACTTCTCACCAAGATGATTCACTGTTCGGCTGCAAATCAATCAATATATTATTTATATTAATTATTCTAGACTGTGTTGCTAATTATTTTACTTTAGAACTTAAATTGAATAGCAGATGGCTGAGTCGTTATTTGTATCATATTTTTGGTTTAGAGTGCCGAACATTTTTGTAATAATAAATCGCTCATCACTGACACTTGACGCGACGCAGCGCAACGGCTGTTCACCACCACATCTTGACGAACGAAGGAAACTAATGATACCGGCCTTTACAAAAACAGGAACATCAGTCATTTTTCAACTTCACTACACCCCCTCTTTGTAATTTTTGACAGGTAGAAAACAGTGTGCCCTTTTACCGAAACGAATGTCAATGAAAGTAACTAGAGACGAACTTCCACTTTCATAATTGGCAGCACATCGACATCACAGTTTATCACGAATATAGCGTGAAACCTCACTTGAAAATCTTGCCCTGATTGAACTTCTTTCCACCGAAAGCACCTTCCCAGGAAAGATATTCTTTTAGCATCTCTTTGGTGTCGGCATTATTCGGGTCCATCTTTTTCCAGTCGTAACTTTCGTAGTCAATCTGCCAATTTTCAGACAACTAAACAATCAATGTAAGAAAAAATTTAGTAAATAAAATTTTGCTGTTAAAGATAATCATCAGGACCGAACAACAAAACGCTTCGCCGAAGGTTCACTTGACCATGTTCATGTTTTATTCAGTCCTGAAGATCTCAAATTCATATTGAATGTAACAGCAAGCTGATGCAGTGAAACGCTCGCTACTTTAAGACTAAAACTTTTATTAGCTTACCTGCCAACTAAAATAAGATAAATAAGCGATTAATCGTTTATGGTTACGCGATGTATTTGATTATGCAAATTGTAAAAATCAGACTTACCTTGAAAACTAACTCATGACCACGCCACACCCAAATTCCAGATATTGTCGAATTGTCATCCTCACCGAAAACACAGACACTAGCGAAAGCGTTCTTGCGAAGTTTGTCAAGCCGTTGGTACATTCCTAAAATTCTGCGTTAGCGATGGTAACACGACGTGGCACTAGGTGAACACCTGACGATGCACATGGTCAAAATAGGTGAGATCGATCGAATAAGTGATACTTTAAGCAAAACTAAACATGTATACTTCCCGTGCCAACAACAATCGAATCGGAAAGCACGGTGATGTACATAAAGCACGGATTTACTGAATTTTATGCAAAAGAACGGAAAATGAGGAATAAAAAAAGTAAAAAGGAAACCTACTTTAGGTACCAAAAACATGAAAAACAGAAAAGACCAAAATATGGACCTACTGGCTAGAGTACATTTATGAGATAAGAGTATAATTATTCAAGTTATCAAGACGATGTTGACATATACATTTTTAAAAAATTTTCCGACAAC